GTGGACAGAGGGTGTCGCGTGGTCAGCGCAATGGATCCCCACGGCAGTTAATTTTGGTTTTCTACACCGTAAAACGAAAGTAAGGTCAAACTTGAGGAAAAACACAAACAACAAAAAATCTAAAAAATAAAATGATGACAGAAAATGAGATAAAATTAAAATAAATGACACACTATAAAATTGGTTTCAATTTACACTGCTCCCACATTGGTTCCTTCTTAGCCCAAGTCCTTGGCCTCCTTTTATCACCGACCGTTTTCTCCCATGTGGTTTACTTTCCTGCCCTGAACACAGAGGCAGCATGTTTCCCAAGATGTTGATAAATATCTACCACACTACATGGTGTCACACCCTAGGAGACAAGTACTCTTCAGTCACTGCCATGAGAACCACAATGTCACAAAGCTACAGAAACTCTATTCTAAATCTCAGGTCAGAGGTGAAGCTCCATGTGTAATACTTCATGGGAAGCCTCATGGGTGGCAATACTGAGATGAAAATTAATTGGCTGATTCCCTCCCACATATGAGCTTCTTGGTCATTACAGATGCTGTAGAAGAGTTTGGTTGTTTAAGGCAAGGTAAAGGCAAAGTTGTTCCCGTGCTTAATTAATTAATTAAGCTCTATACCATGGAGCACTAGATAGAGGCGAGTGGTCAGCTTCACATCCTGACAGCTTTACCCCCAAGGAAATCGCCCTGGATACCCAATGAACAGGAGGCTGGGTGGGCCACTGAGTCCCTCTGGATGGTATGAAAAGAAAAATCTTACCCCTGCTAGAAATCAAACCCTGGCTGTCCATTGCTATACAGATTTCTGAAAGCACTGATAAACCAGTTTCTTCCTGTCACCAGATGCTGCATGCATCTACATTCAGCGATTTCTTGTACACAAAGTAACACCTAATCACAAACAAATTTAGTGTGTTAGACTCACTTCAGACTTGGCTGTAACTGAAATATGTAAAGTGACCTTTGTTTCTCCATAACAATCATTCCATTATTGACGTCTTATAGTGTACTCCACAGTGGATTGTACATTGTAAACTTTAGGATAATCAAATCAAGGGCGGGAGAGGTGAGGCATGCAAGGAAGAGATGAGAAATGCCTGAAAGGGAATGCTTAAAAGAGCTAGGCATAAAAGGGGAGATAATATTAAAATGTATCTTAATTAAATTGGATGAGAGGGTGTGGCCTAAAATTCATCTGCCTAGGTCAGGCTTTTGTGAACTATGCAATGAACATTCAGATTCCATAAAATTTCTGGACTACATAAAAATATGAGAATCTAAAAAAAGGCTCTAATCCAAATAATTAATTACACAAGACCCGTTTGATATTATCCTACCACCTATGTCGTTATTTCCGAAACTGTCTAAGGTCTGCGATAAAAATTTTGTATGCATTACAAATCTTGCTAACATAAACACGCGATCATATCGTTCATCGTGTAACAGAGGCACTGCTGATTCCACAGCTTGTAACATCGCTTCAATCTGATCGTGTTATTTCTGTCCAGCTGTACCCTTCCTTCGTTCCTTTTTTGTGCGAACGGGACTTCAATTTACAATCTCCTACCGAGCGAGACTACTGCGCAAGTCATATTNGGGTGGGGGGGGGGGGTCGTTGCCCCTTCTGCGCGGCCAGTCATCGGCTTGCAGCTGAGCCAAACTTTCTTCCCACCGACCGAACTCACCGCCACTTCCAGACTTTCGTCTCTTCAAGTTTCCATACAACCCGAAAGCACAATCATTGTTACAAGAACTGAATACCGATTACTAATTTCACCACGAACCTTGGTTTCTGTCTCCTCTTGGCACGTGTCTCGTCACCTATAAAACATTTCTGACAGTTCAACGTAACAACAGTTCACTGTGTGGATTACGGCCTGTAACGTGCAAGAAAACAGCGTACGACACATTAACTGTGCATTTACAGTCCGGGTTAAAAATACTGTATTTCCTGGAGGGGGGACGCGGTAGGGTAATTAATATTTGGTGGAATGAAGATTGGCAGGGGAAACCAAAGTACTCGCAGAAAACCTGCCCCAGCGCCACTTTGTCCATCACAAATCCCACTTGACCAGACCCGGGATCGAAGCCGGGCCGCCGTGGTGGGAAGCCAGCGACTAACCGCTTGAGCTGTGGCGCGGCCCGGTAGCGTAGTTAGTTGAGGCACTATGGTACAAGACGGAGGGTCGCGGGTTCGAATCCCGATGAGGTACATTTTTTTCGAATTGACCTAATCCATCCAGCCGCATTATGGCACTGGGGTCCACTCAGCCTCTAAGGCGGCCATACACGTACGAGTCTGCCTCGCAAGTCCAGCTCGGATTAATCTCACCACACATGTATGAGCGTGGAGACCCACAGACGGACGAGTTTGGATCATTGGAACTCGAGAAGAGTCGGACTTGCGAGCCAGACTCGTAGGTGTATGGGTCGCCTAACAGAAATGAGTACCAGGAATATTCCTGGGGCTAAAGGACGGGCGGCGCGTAAGGCTGACACCTCACCGCCATCTGTGGGCCGACTGTCTAGAAAACGTGGGACCCTCAACATCTCACTAACCTATAGGCCTCCACGGCCTGTTACAGGTATACCTTTACTTGACTGCCTCTGTGGTCTAGTGGTCAGAGTTCCAGAGGTCCGGGTTCGATTCCCGGCGCTACCAGATTTTCTGAGAACTAGTGGGTCGGAAGGGGTCCGCTCAGCCTCGTGAGGATAATTGAGGAGCTATTTCAAGGAAATAGCGGCTCCGGTCTAGAAAACCGAAATTAACGGCCGTGGGGATTCGTTGCGTTGACCACGCGACACACAATATCCGCTAACGTTGGCACTAACTTCGTCAACTATCGGCGATCACCCGGTCGGTATAGTTCGCTTGAGGACTCAAGCAACGGAGTTTGTTTTGTTTGTATTTCCTGGAGTCTTGTCCTTGCAAGCTTTAAATGGTGCGAAATGAATAACGCCTTACAAGAGACAACGAACCGGGGTATTTTTTTATTGCTAGTGGTGTGGAACTAAGTCCCTTGCACTGCGGCCACTTCTGGCCTATTGCACCAGCCCCAGATGATAGGTGAGGGTGATTGTGGAGCAATTGGTGGAATGAAGATTGGCAGGGGAAACCGAAGTACTCCGAGAAAACCTGCCTCCAGCGCTACTTTGTACACCACAAATCCCACCTGACCAGACCCGGGATCGAACCCAGGCCGCCGCGGTGGGATGCCAGCGACTAACCCCTTGATCCATGGCGCGGCCCTATGAACTGGGGTAGCTCAGAGGGCATAGTGACTGACTACAGGGCGCGAATGACTGTGATTCGATACCCAGCAATATATGTCCAATTCTTCAAGCTGATTATTGGGTGGGTGGGTGGGGGGAGGTTGCGGTTAGAACCCACAGAGAAACATTTGTGGCGCGTTCAAAACGAGAAAATTTGCAAAAACAGGTCTCTCAGCCTCAAAATGTCCGTCCATGTGTAATAACTAGAGAACTGCGGGCAGCATTTTCATGAAATTCGACATTCTAATGATCTTTGGCCCCCAGATGATGATACTGTCAACAGATTCCAGTTATCATCAGACAATAATGGACATTTCAAACGAAGATGTACTTCAGGTTGATGCCATATAGTATGGTAGATGTTTACCGACGTTTTGCAAGACGTGCTACTACCATCTTCAGGGTAGACTGAGACGTGGACACAGCTACCAGACTACACGGTGACACATATCTGAAGACCGTAGTAGTCTTCAAGGTCACCACCATCAGATCCTCAAATCTCACTTTACACGAAGTTCTACAAGCATTTCGGTGAGCATCTTCAGAGTAACTCGTTAAATAGGTATCATGGCAAAACATATTGGTATAAAAGTTGCATAGAAAAAATATATTTGTCGAACAGGCTTTAGACAACTAAACAAAAGCGTGAACGAATGGGAATTTTTACACTCTGAATGCTCTAACTTGTTATGAATTCTGTTTGTCAACACGAGGGAAACTCCGTAATGACGTAATTGCACCAGGGAGGTAGATAAGGTGGGTATGCAGCATGGATGGGGGAAGCAAATAGGCACAGAACTCACAGAAATAATGAACATGTATTACAGGGAATGAGACATGGTTAATCTACAACACAGGAAAACTGCCAACACTACCTACTTTCTTATACTCCTTCTTTCTTGCGTGTGAACTCGAACGTTCATTACTACATACATAGGAGCCTGCCCATAGTCCCTAACCTAAGACAGACGAATCTAATCCATACCACCCCATCCCACTTCTCTATGACCCATTTTAATATTATCCCCCACCTATGTCTAGGTGTTCCTAGTGCTCTTTCCTACTGGCATTTCCACCAAAACCCTGCATACATTCCTCCCCTCTCCCATGCATGCTACATGCCCTACTCATTTCATCTTCCCAGACCTCATCATTCTAAATATTGTCATGTTTTAAGAGCGACTTATAGACAGGGTATGGACTGAATACTGGATTTGCTGACCACCTGTGTACACCACTCAGAACTACACCTTACAGATCACTGTCACACACAGATTAGTGTACTCAGTCTATTACAGGATGGCTATCATGGAAGATTCTTCAGCTTCCTGCACTCAGGTCCTCTTGTCACAGTTCACCATGCAGAACTCTTGTCAACTGACAACTCAACTAACTGGCTCCCAGGCTGGCGGCCATTTCACAGGCTCTCAACTGACAACTGAACTCTCTCACCAATCAGCTACTTCACTTCACTGTACTCAACTGAGCTGTTTACAACTTTCTCTGTAACTCGACTGACCCCGCTTATTAATATTTCAGCATGAACCACAGAAAGCACAATTTCCAATGTTATAGACCAATAATATCTCAACAACTGCATAGAAATGGGTGTTTTATTTGCCTATTGTATAGTGACTGTTGTTTACAGTTGCTGCTTAACAACAGGTCCATATGCCAAATATATGTGGCAAAGAGTGCTGTTGTTTACAGTTGGTGCTTAACATTTGGTGTATACACCAAATGTGCAAGTTACAGAACTCCACATTATGAAGACTACACTTTACAACAGCCTTAAATTTCCTCGCTCATACACCAACCCAATGAAAAGAGGATAAAAGTGTTAAGTATTACTGCATCAAGACTGACAGAAAGCTTATAACAGCACACAGTATTACTGATAACAGCTCCAAATATCTGAACACTGAAGAGGGAACATTCTATGCTTTTACTACAATTACAAACATACTGGTACGAACAAGCATCTTACTTTCTCCGGCCACACAGAAACACAGGGTTTTCATACCATGCAAACTACTTCCCAAGCTTGTTTGCGGCATTATCAACTGATGACCCTGTTAAATAAAATTACTTTTCTCTCTCCTCAAAACAGTTTCCCTGTTTACTTACTGCTGGCTTTTAAAGATAAGGACTCAATCTCCAATCAACTTTCCTATCATACAGAAAATGTATTCCGAGAAACTGGATTTGAAGCAGCAATTGATCGAAAAGAAAATGATAATCCATAAGCACTACATAGTAAGCTACAGATATTTTCATACACCTATATTATTCCTCCTATACTGATACTGGGGGCACATGGTAGCGTAGTTGGTTGAGGGGCTATGCTACAAGCCGGAAGGGCATAGGTTCAAGTCCTGATGAGGTCACTGGATTTTTTTCAGTTGACCTAAGCGTTCCAGCCTTACCATGGCCCTGGGGTTGACTCAGCCTCTAAGAGAGTACCAGGAATTAAATAAATAATTTTCCTGGGGAGTAAAGCGCGGCCCGTGTGTAAGGCTGACAAACTTACCGCCATCTTTGAGCTGATTGTCTAGATAATGTGAGACCCTCCAACGTCTCACAACCCTATGGGCCTTCACAGCCCGTTACAGGAATAGCTCTACTTACTTTACTATGCTGATACCACAATTTTTACATTCTGTGAGGCACCTCAATGCATTCTTTAAGTGACCATCTACAAGTCAGGTCACAGAGATGAAGCTCCAAACATTAAGACCCAGGATGTGATAATGCACCACTCATGATTAACTACACTATAATTACAACCCATATAGATAAGATACTATTCTCCAAGTATAATTAGAACAATCAAGTAAAGGAGGATGAGGTGGGAAAGCCAGAAGGAAATAGCCACTGGGAAGACCAAGGCATAGGTGGGTAAACAATATTAAAATGGATCTTAGAGAGATAGGGTGGGATGGTATGGATTGGACTGATCTGGCTCAGGACAGGGACCAGTGGAGGGCTCTTGTGAACATGGTAATGAACCTTCAAGTTCAATAATATTTGGGAAATTCTTGAGTAGCTGAAGATTTGGCGGCTCCTAAATAAGGTGTCAGTTCCATAAGTAAATAGATACATGGGTATAAAACGGATCACACACCCCACCAGAATTAATTACCAGATCCTGCATGAAACTACAAAAAGAGATAACGCTTCTGATTTTAGTTCAACCACTGATGGATCTAAAAGCATCTTCAAGATTTATAAGAAGAAACTACTGATGTCATGAATGGTCTAAATTTTACACATGACCACATAAATGACTCCATCCCTGGTAAATAGCAAATACTAAAGTTACACCCATCCCCACCATATCTTCATAATATCCCTACTTTATAAAATAGTTTCCTTAGTGTCAGACAACACCACAAAATTAATACAGAAATAAAATACAGTTGCCATTCCTCAGCAGGTTACAAGCAAATCCCTGATTCATTTCCCTCCACTACCATAGCACTGCAACAATTTGAACATCCTCAGTGACAAGCAAAGGCTCACCTGTTTATGAATCCATACCCGCTCTTCACGTTAAACCACTTCACAGTCCCGGTAACTTTGGTTGCTAAAAGAAAGCAATTAAAACATCAGAAAAGATCTTCACAAATAAAAAAGTTAAGACGAGTATCCAAAATACTAACTATAATAATAGTTATTTATACCGATCATGACAACATATATTATTTTCAGCTCCTGCGAGTTGTCTCCACACTAGTACCAACCTGCAAAATAAAATGCAATAAAAAGACGCCATATCTATTTCAGGTTTGATCATTCTCACGGCCATGAATATTAAGATTAGGGTGTTCTGGGATGTGTAGCTTAATAGTTTGGTAGACATGTTTAGTACATGGTGTCACAGTCCTGATGACTACAATTTTATCTACTACAGCCTCTCACAGACTAAGTAACAAAGCTTGTGTAAAAGTATCCACACCATGAAAAAAGTCAATAATTAGGAGAGAAGTGACAATGTAATGCAAAATGGATACTTTTTATTTAATTCCATTAGCAGGCGGACTTACTGAACTACTTAGATTCTGACACACAACGGAGTGAAAGAATCCACTTCCTGGGTGTTGGGAGTGCCCACAGATTTCCATTTAGGATTTAAATTTACAATACAGAGTCATAGTCACTGGTAGAGGACATTTCCACATTCAAAATGATTTCACTTTCAGGATCGAGGGATGGATAAGGACTGCAGAAAAAGCCACACTGGAGTCAGTCAAAAACATTCATACATAAACTAGCATTTTTTCCCTAGACTAGAAAGTCCTCACTGTGATGGACAGTAATATTTGGGTCAAAAAAGGTACAGCTATCCCTGTAACAGGCCATGGAGGCCAATAGGGTTGAGAGATATCGAGGCTCCCCATTTTCTAGAAAATCGGCTCACAGATGGCAGTAAGGTTGTCAGCCTTATGCGCCAGCTGCCCTTCATCCTCCAGGAATATTCCTGGTACTCATTTCTGTTACAGGCCGAGTCAACCCCAGGGCCATAGTACAGCCGGAAGGATTAGTTAGGTCAATTGAAAAATCAAACGACATAATCAGAAATCAAACCTGTGACCTTCCAGATTGTAACACATTTCCCGTGTAATACTTGGGTAGTAACAAAAAAGATTGGCGACCTTGAATCAGGTGTATTAAGCCCCAGTAATAATTTCTGATCCCATTGCTCAAAAATCTACCTCAACCAAGCTATTAATAGGCTCAAATTCACAAGCTATGCAACCAATGGGGGAAAAAAATAAGACTCTTATAAAATCACCACAGAAAGAGCACATTTTTGATTACTTCAAGTTTTGGAGAGAGCTGTAATGTTTACAAAGAAGTAAACTCTAGAAATGTCTGTGCCACTAGAATTTTACACAGTACAATACAATTCAGAGCACTCTCTTGTTGTCAGTGCTAATGGACTATGTTACATCTTCACTCAACTTGGGTCCCTTAACAAACTGGGTGAAATCAGCAAAAAGACTGTGCTGACCATTACAAACATGTTATCAAATAAGGACCAAGCCATTCCTGTGCCAAAACACACACTAAATATGAACATGTAAACGCAAGAATCTTAAACTTTTCCCATTCTTTTTATTTCCAACCTCACTTTGTGTACAATTTGTATAAAAACTGGAAGGTCAATGTAAGTGACGCACGACCAGCTAAGAAATTTGAAAAATATGCTGCATAGGTCACAATGAGGGCCCTTCTGAAAAGCGTCCATTTTCAATCACACTTTTGTGTGTTACCATTCATTATTGATGAAAATAAAGACAAAATTAAAACTAAAAGTGCTAAAAAGATTTCTCTCCCAAAGGAATAATAATGCATCACCAAATTCAAAATGCACACCTCTTGGTACATTACATATGTGAAGTGCCATTATACAGATAAAACAGAAGCAACTACAAAGACTGGAACGAATAACACTATGGCTTCTGCTTCAGCCAATCAAGTTCTCATTCTTGCTGTTTAATTGAGCATATGAACAACCTAACAGGAGCCAGGATAACTCAGTCTGTACAGCAACGGGCTACAGACTGGACAGCCACGGTTCGAATGCTGAGCATGAGATTCTTCTGTACTCCACAGTATCCAGACTGATTGTAGAACTCACCCAGCCTCCCATCTAATGAGTACCAGCAGATCTTTCCATGAGGGTAACATTGCAGGGCTGTAAAGTTGACCAGTGCTGAGGTAAAGAACGCTGCAGCTATACTTCCACTTAAGTAATTAAGCACAGGGACAACTTTACCTATATGAACCTAATATTTGAACAAGAATGGGGAAAATGCATATTACGGGTGCATTCAAATGAGGAAGCCTACATACAATTCTAAAGCTGCATATTTTGTTTCAGCTCCACACCTTGAAGACTAGCAGTTTAGGCATTAAAATTATTGAACTGGGTACCTGAAAAAAAGTTATTATCTAAATTAAAGGATGGTAAGTGCATCTACTAATGAATATACATAAAAGGTAAAATGTAAATTTGTCCCCGTGCTTAACTAAGCACTACACCATGAAAGAATATGGGGGAATGGCACCAGTTAGAGGTGAGTGGTCAGCTTCATGCCTCCAAGTTAATGATGGACAGTGGCTGTGTCTACAAGTAGAACTGCACGAAAATTAGAGCAACCAATCCGTTCCTGAGAAAATATTCAAAGGGAATAATGAAGGTAAATTAGCCAACAGTACAGCTTTGAAACCTGAACAGGAGCTGCATGAAGGAAGCTCAAAAGAAGCATCATGTCTCCAAAACCATACTGTTATTTTTTATAGGTTGTCTCATCATCTGAATGGGGAGATGACAGATTAAATGGACTGCTCATGCAACAGTGAAGCCTGAGATTCATCTAATAACATTTGAAAACTCAGTTCATACCTCACAGAAAACAGTCTCCATTACAATGAAAAATTGGTTAACACTGTTTTGGAAAATAATCTATTTTTGCTGAGAATCATACAAAACACATACACACTGTGTTAATGCTTTTGCTCTCTATTCAGGGCCTCTATTTGAATTTTAAAGAAAAGCATAATAATCTTGAGGTTCTTTTGTGGGTTTACTCAGCCAATTGGAAAATGCCAAGAATTCTATCAATAAGCCATAACATCGTCTCTTCACAATAAGGACCTGTTAAAAATTATTTAGATAAGGCCATTCTGCCTTCGTCCTAATGCTTCCATGAAGATGTAGCCTAGAGTTTCGTATAAAACACTGTATCGCAACCAAAAAAAAAAAGCCAAAATCTTTTAACACACAATTATGGTAGGTCTAAGATTAACTCTGATATTTTGACACCTAACAAGGGCAAGAAAATAATATTAAAATTCTTAGATGGCTATGGGCCAATACAGTGACTATGCCGTCCTATGGTATGGCAGACAATTTCTGAAACTCAAATCATACAGTAGTACCGACGAAGATGATCTTGATCACAGACCAGCCAGTACGGAAGAATCTATTTTATGACTGCATTACTTACATGAACATTAAATTATGATACTGGATATTACCAAATAACATAAATTATACAAAGGAAATCATCTCATGTGTTAAATCTGGTCTTCCGCACCCAACGTTGTCGGCATCCCTTAACTCTGCCTCACGAATTTCCGCAACATTATGCGGCTTTTATAATATTACTTTTGCAGGACTCTTACTTTCCAAAGTACGAATGGGCCCAATGCTGTAAACCATCAAAACTCACAAGTTTTATATTCTGAATATACGTATTTTAAGCATTTCCCGGACAGCCACATGTGCAGCAGCAGACGCTAAAAAGATGGACGTGCGCAAGCAAACTCATCAGTCTGACGAAGATTCCGTTCCTCCGTATAAGACTAACTTCCTGGGTTTCTCTGAAACTTACCGATGACTTGCTTTTGTTGTGCAGCCTTTGGTTGTTCAGGCTGTTTCTCCGGGTCAGCCATGACGTTCCGGGTGGTGGAAAGGTGTTAAAACACGCCGAACCGATGTTCCTCCTTCCTCCTTGCAGCTTTGTTAAGTTCCTTCTCAACATGGCGCGTTGCGTTCGGATAAAAAGAACAGTGAGGAGATTCACTGATTGGTACGTTGGAAGTGACGCAACATACAGCTCTCTGATTGGGCGACTTGCAGTAACTCAACGAGTGTAAATTCAAAGATGATACAAACGACATATTGATTGGTATTACAATGTCGATCTCTGCAATATCATAGGTGGTCCACTTATATGTATGTAGCTACATTATTTTCCAACCATCGTTCACAGACACAAGCAGATGCACACAGTATGCAGTATCAGTGAAATGCTTTATATATTAGGACTGCTTAGTTGTCTCACTTGCTTGAATGCGGGCAGTTCCCACAAGTGTATTGTGACCATTGTGACTGGGGCAGTTGAGCGATAAGTTTTACAAAGGAAAATAGATGGCAACAGTGGTCATAGGCACAGTGAATTGCGCAAGAGTCTGCCATTCCCATACCAGTAGTGAGCGGTTGCGAAATGGTCTTGGCGGTAGCGTGAGAGAATATGGTTGGTTTTTCTTGAAAATGTTCGCGTTGACCGTACTTTTTTGTTGCATGTTATTTGGAATGCTTGCGGTTCATTATCTACCAGTGTATATTATAGTGGCCTTTGTAGTAGGACTCTTTTTATTTTTATTTTACAAAAGTTACGCCAAGTGGGTGAGGGTTCATGAGCGTGGTCGTAACGGTCCGACTCCGTTTGAAACTATTCTGAGTTCATTTCGTGTGTGGATAGGCTCTTCAGCAATCTCAGTCATGAACACCTGTGAAAAGTTACGATCTACCTCGCATAGAAGTAGGACAAATACGGCGCCTCCTTATGCTGAAGGAAGTCACTTAACCTTGATGAAAACTTCGCAAGAAAATCACACAAGCACGTATTACTCTGGACTTTGTGGAGAGAATCTTGAATATAAACCAAGAAATTCCTTCACTGATGACTTATCAACTGATTCGCCGCATAGCAGTATGAGATCTCATAACAGGAGCCAGCGACCATTGCACCAGGCCCTAAGCGGATGTTCTGGAGATTTAAGCTTTTCCCCCAAAAGCTCACCGTGGGGCAATAGTGTGAGTCCAAAATTAAGAAGTCATGGTTCAGGGGTGAAAACAATCCAGACTGTTGGAGGCCCCCTTCTTGCTTCAACAAGGTTCAACTTCAACAAGGAGGCAAGGTTAGTGTTAAGTCAGAGTTTGTAAATAAGATCTAAAATTTCTTGACGATGGAACATTAGTACAAATAACATTTGTATTCAGAGTTTGTATTTCTGTTTTGTATTATGTGTAACTCACAGAAATGTTAATTATTGAAGTGGTATATTGTAGGATGTTTGGAGATGTATGCAGTCCAGGATTCAGTAGCCGTGTGGCCCATTATGCAAGCGAGGATTCTAAAACATTGACACATCAGAAACAATATTCAGGCCCAGGACAGTTTCCTCTTGTTCGGTTGGATCATGCTGCATCGAGGATGCCAATTTTGTCCTCTCGCAGAAGTCAGACGAGTGTCCAGAGCCGTGTTACAGTTAAGGTTGCTCCTCCTATGTCATCAGATACAAGGTAAAACACATGCACTAATTTCGCAGTACTGTGATCTTGCACCGTAGCTTGCCTATCATGTTTCCACATGATATGATCTACAGAAAATTTCTCATGAAAATTGTATATACATTTTTTACCCTTTTTAAGTAAGTACCAACTACATAAACAAACATGAGCATTGGTACAAATATGAACTTCTCTTGATTAATCACCATGTAGTACTTACCTTCTAATAGGAACAGAATTCTGTACTGAAGAACAAGTTTCACCATACTTGCATAAGAAAAGTAAGCTAAGAAGCGTTAGTAAGCAGCATATATCAGAAGATGAGTAGCAAAGTCCGTCAAGTGTAGCAGGTTTAATATAAGAGGTTGCCTTTACATGGTAATTCACTTAGTGGGGGGTGGAGTCCAGCTGGGACCACTTGTCACAGCGGCCACTGACTGGCCTATTGTAGCCTGCCCCTAGTGATTATGATGATAGAGAACTTGGTGGAATGAAGATTGGCAGGGGAAACCAAAGTACTTGGAAAAAACCTGCCCCAGTGTAACTTTGTCTGCCACAAATCCCACTTGAGCAGACCCAGGATCGAACCTGGAAAGCCAGCAACTAACAGCTTGAGCTGTGGTGTCGCCCCTTTGCATGGGTAGGTTTGCAGATTATTTTAAGGGATATTTTTCTGGTTTAGAGATCGATGGGCATGTAAAGAAACTGTTGTTAATAGGCTCTTGGCTAAACTGCACTTGATACCTTCTGCCTTTTAGAGTATGTAGTTTGACAATGTATATGATAGATACATATTTTAGTTATTTTAATGTGTAAACATGGCATGCAATGAACTGGTTTGACGTGGACAAGTAAGCACCTGAAGATGGCATTATTATGCCGAAACATGTAGTGCGAGGGAAAGAGGGAGATAAATGAATGTATGCACTGCAAGACGGATTAAATAAATCATGAGTATGTAGTCTTTTGCTGAGTGCCTACAAGTTTGGAATTAGGTTATTTTGGTATGTGCAATTGGAAGTTTACAAAGTTCTTAACATTTGTCGACATTTGTTTATTGAAAGCAAACATTATAATGCTGTCAGTAGATTTCAATGTAGGACCTCTAAGGAATGGTGTACTAGCCTTTTGATTGTGATGTCTGGTTGATGTTGAGCTATATAGAGAAACTAAAATAAATTAGAAGAAACATCAGGTCATGATAGCTAGTCAATGGGATTCAATTCAGAAACTTTTCAACTGCAGACCAGATTTGCATGGTGTTCGTTACTGTATCCAAACTTATCTTTCCATCGTTTATATTGTTTTCAGGTTTATGAGAAAGTCGCAGATCATGAGTGACGCTTCTTTTGATGAGCAACATTCTTCAAAGTCTTTCTTGGACGTGCTAAGGGAGATGTCTCGTAAGCGCATTCATGCTCAGGTAACCAGGCACTTCTTGTAATACATCTGTACTTTACACACACATGTGGTAGGCAGACTTCTTAACATTGAAAATACACAGTGCAGTTGCATCATGCATGCATTTAACTTAAATGTATTCAACCAAAATATTATATTGTAGTATTCTGTTGCACATAAGACTGTAGATTTAATTAAAAACACTAGAGAGCCGGGGTAGTTAGTTCGTATAGTGACTGGCTACAAGCTAGACGACCTAGGGGTCGGAGTCCCAGTGGGGGCAAGAATTTTCTCTTTTCCACTTCCTGACCGGCTCCAGGGTCCACCCAGCCTCCTACCTAATGGGTACCGGGGGCTCTTTCCCTGGGGATAAAGTGGCCGGGGTGTGAAGCTGACTACTCACGTCCAGCTAGTGCCAAGGTCAAGAAAATGTGGATCTATACATTCACCCCCCCATACACCTTCATGGCATAGTTCATTGAGCACAGGGACTTTATCTTTATAATTCAACCATATGCACTCACAAAAAAAAAAACATTGGGAGTGATTCATGTAAGGCTTGCTCTTCATGACCCAAGTCTGTAATTGTGTTTCCTGGTTCCACATCAAGCCCTAACTACCCCTGTCTTTACTGTTTTCCCTTTTTATTCTTTCATTCTTCCATCTCTCAAGTTTTATTATAAGCGAAAATTACTCTACCTCTTGTATATATAGTCCTTATTGTATACATTATATACATACATATTACAGGGAGGAAATAAAAGTGTGTACTTTATGGTCGATTTAAGGAATTTTCGAGGGTAATCCTGACTAAGCAATTTTGGCTTTATGTGCCGTCTTTAGAGCAGAACCCCTGCATAAGATGCAGCTGCACTATAGTAACTTACATTGATATGGGCTTAGCCAGTAATTTCAAACATATATAGTACCTAGTGCAGCTGGTTTTAATACTGGAATGACAAAGCCTTGTTGAAATATGTAGCAAGTGAGCATTATCAGATTGAGAATTTGTGTTCTCATAAAGAATAAAATGATGTAATTGTGCATCAAATCAGTGTTACATTTTTTCCAGAGCCTTGATTATTTTTATGAGGCTAATAATTTTATGGGAACGTTGCTAAGTATCTAAATGTTCTGACTACTAGGTCACCATGAGTAACATTCTTGTTGCGATGTCTGATATTTTCTGGATCATGTTTAAAAAATGTTAAAATTTGCAGGTTAGAGGTCATGTACACATATAGGTTATGGCTTCGGCCAATGGCAAAGTTAGGAGCTTTTATATTGTCATTTGGCAAAAAAATGTAGGATGATATATTTGATATAACTATTGATTTGGATTCAGTCATGGGCAGTCTGCATGTGCAATGTAGGCATTTGTGTTATGTGCTCTCCAAGTATGCAGGGTGTTTCACGACTTTAGGGCATAACTGCAGGAGGTGATTTCCTAGGTCTTTGTGATCAAAAAAGTTCATATAAACATGTGCCCGATTTTGGACGGTTACGGAGTTATGACTGTTTTTTCATTCTCGTACACGCCCTCGTATGAACCGCGTCTCTCAGCAGGCAGGTCGCTATTTTTAGGCAGCTACAGACAGAGCTTTCTCATTATCTCGACACTTGAGAGCTGTCTACAACCAAGCGGCAGCCTGTGTTGCAGCCGGCAGTGAAATTTTCAAAAATCAGCTCTAAGTACCAATCAATTCAAATTAAAGGTAATTTCACGAAGTTAACTTTACTTTCATACTTTAAATGTATCATGTATTATGCTGGTTTATTATTTTGTTCCGTTTATTGTCAGTAATTGTTACCTTCTATTCTGAGTTTAAAACGGTCATAACTCCGTAACCGTCCAAAATCAGACACATGTTTATGTGAACTTTTTTGATCACAAAGTCCTATTAAATCACCTCCTGAAGTTATGCCCCAAAGTCGTGAAACACCCTGTATAATATCCGAACATTTTGATTTATCCTAGTTCTCCCAAACAATGTGTTGCAGAAATTTGGAAAATACAAAAAGTGCACTTATAACAGCAGTCTTCATTACAGTTGTTAGTTCTTACACATTCATAGCTCAAATCCAAGCCTATATCTTTCCCATTATTTCCCCCTTAAGAAATACTGGGGCTGTGATGACAAGGAGTATATAATAGTAGTAACAAGACATATTCTGAAGGTCATAAGAACCCGGAGACATTAAATAACTACCATGAATAGCAAATATTATTCCTAAATTGTACTGCAGAGTTTCCTTCAATGGCAGTATATAATAGCCAAACTGCCATCCAACCCATCCCATTTCTGCCAAATGGTGCATCTTAGGGGGGGAAAAAAATACTTAAAGAGTGTTCCTCTTGGAGAGAGAACCACAGGAAAGTTATTAATTTTGCTGCTGTTTGTATGGGCTCAAGTCTTACGTCAGTTTCTTTCCTGACTCTTTCCTTGATTAAAAAAAGGCATTTGGACTGTCATGGCAGTGAGAAACTGTCATATGTTATATAGCAACCGAACCTGCGGAAGTCAAATGTGACTAACCATGGACAACAAAAATTGTTCTGCAAATTAAGTGCAGATTTTTCAGCATAGGCATGGTAGCTATATTACAAAAGAGAAGAAATAACAGGAGGATGGAGAATGTGGCACTGTGGGGATTTTCATAAGTTGTACAGTACAGCAGTAATGCAAGAAATGAGCAAGAACTGTGTTTTGTCTTTTCTTTTTGTGTGTCATTGATCATGAAGCAATTTTCTATCTTTTCCAGGTGAATGAAAATGAAGATGATGATATAGTAAAGAGACAGCGCAAGGGAGAAGGACAAATCACCTTGGACAATGGTTCAGACGTCCCACAAGTTCAGGGTGACATCAATGCTGTGTATGTATTATGTGTCATTGCTGATTATGATATTCCGAATAGTAGAAAATTTCCATTAATATATTTAATTATATCAGAATTTATCATACAGACATGTCATCATATCTGATTCTATGACAGCAGTACCTGTATTGCCTGTGTGTAAAACTTTCCAAAATTTTTGCAAACTGTTACTTGTTTTGAAATCATGGTTTGGTGGGATGTGGTGTCATGTAGTTTATTTACCAAACTACACACAGCAATGAGCATTGGCTCAAATGGTAACACTTCTGACTCGTATTCTAGACGTGCCTAATATGGGTCTCAGCCAAGGCACCCACCGAGGTTTTCCATGGTTTCTTAAGTCTTTGCAGACCAATGCAGGGATAGTACAGGGTGATTCATATAGAACCAACCCGACAAAATGAGGTGTAATATAAAATATACCATACAGATATTAAAGTAACTTACACATATCTTGGATTGTGTGCTGTGATCAGAGCAGGTGTTTGAAAGTGTCCGCCGTTTTCAAGTAGGCATTAGAAACACTCGCTGTTCAACAGTGTACTCCATGACTGTCGCCTGCCCATTGCAGACACGTTTCGGCATTGTCCTTGACCTTGCAGCATAAGGGCTGCCACTTGCCAGGTCATGCGCACACTATTCGACTTAGCACGGCCCACGGATTATTATGTCGTAATTGTGAGCGGTTATATGCATCACCTGCAGAATTATTAGCAAATTCATTGGGCAAGTTCTATACGATTCACTCTATACCTTAAATTAGGTTATGAGAGCTTCCATCCACATCCTCTTCAATTCATCATGCACTATTATACAGTCATTTGATGCTATAGCCTTGAATTACAGACAGCCTAGTTAAAAATCCAAAGTATATGGTGTGACTTGCCAGAAGGCCATGATCATCAATTTCACTGCAATAAGAACCTCATACCTGATATTTTTTGCTAATGATTGTGTTGCAGAGGAAGGCGAAAAAGAGAGGAGTCTCCTGTCCAAAGTGAGGCAAGCTGTCAGCCCCCTCAGCGGCAGAAAAGACAAACTCACAACAATGAGATCTCATGTTCACTCAGTTCTAGCAGAAAGCTCTTGAAACATATGAAGAAAAGCACAAAGAGGAAATCCTCCACAAATGGTGAGAAAGAAAAAGTATTTTGATGGCTTTGTAAATTTACAAACGTGAATATAAGAGATTTTTTTATCTTCCATCCCACAGTCTCAAGCATTGTTTCAAATTCACATTGGAATAAGTTAATTATCTGGAGTCAGTATATTTTCATTGTGCCAGGATATCTCAGTCAGTATAATGACCAGGTTATTGGCTGAATGAACAAGGAACCAGGATTCACTTTCTGGTGGGTGATAGAAATTTTTTCTCCTCTTCATGTTGTCCAGAGTGGTTTTGGAACCATCCAATCTCCCGGCCAGTGGTTCTAGGGACTTTTCCTGGTGATAAAGCAGCCAGGGCATGAAACTGACATGTAACTTCCATCCGTTATGAATGTTACAATTGCATGGAGCTATATTTCCATGTCTTTTACATCTTCATGGTATGTTTTTAATTTAGTACTGGGACACTTTCCTCTTTTCCTTTAATATTCATTAGGTTGTTATAAGAATTAAGCTATGTTTTTTATTGTTTTATATTCAAATGATTGACATTACACATTTCTTACAATCAGATTGGTCACGTAGTGGTACTCCTGTCTTGGGTAAACCACCTAAAAAATCTCGTGAAAGCCTTGGGGATGCCACTCACATTTTGAAGACAAGTGAAACTGTGGCAACTACATCGTCCAGTCATACCCCTGTCGTGAGTGCCACCACCACAACACTTTCCTCTCATGAGGCAGAGGACAAATCAAATGACAGGTCTGAGAGTGTTAAGCCAAGTGAGTTTCTGCCCAAATTTGCTGCTGTTCTGGACAAGAGAACAGGTCCCGTGTTGAACAGTGTGGCAGCATTAGAGGCAAAGCGAGCCCATGACAGACAGACTCGTCTGAGGTCTATGCTTGCTGTTATAGCTGGAGAAGGTATGTGACATTTTCTTTTGTCTTACTCTTTGAACTGGGTGTTCCGCAATAACATTGGGGTGTTATTTCTAGATTATTGCATGTGTGCTTGCACATTGCGTATGATGTTGATATTTAGTGCTTCAGCCCAAATTAAAGCAAGGTTTGTGAATGTAACCCATTAATATTATATGTTACACGAGTTTTGAGAATTTGAAGTGTCTGTAAATTATCTTTATGATTTTAATCTTTTATTACTTGGATCACATTTAAGATAGAGTTCAAATATGTATCAGCTGGAAGATAAATTTAGAAAATATTGGCTTGGCATTTCAGCTACTGCCTGCTGTGCATTCTGGTTGCTAGGTAGAGGTGCTTTCATTAGTATTACAAAATGGCTTCTGGTTCAAGAAAGTAATTTTGTGTGTTACTTTTTCATGAAATGAGATGTGACCATACAAGAAAAAATTTTGGTGTTAAATCACCAGGTCTCACACTCATGGATTTTTCTTCTTGGGCTTTGTGAAGGGCAGTAATTTCACATATTTAGTGACTAGACATGGGGTTTTGATTGGTAATTGGATTTATTAGACTTTCAACAACTCATGACTACATTTTACAAATTTCTCATGTGCACACTACTGTCCTCAGTTATTCACTGGTTCACTAGACGTTGCTTCGCTACTGTCTTAACAGGGTGTTCTACAAAACAGCTTCCAACATTGGGGATTCTTCTACGCCCACACCTGCGCCAGGGGGCAGCTGTTACACAGCAACCTCAGACTTGGACTGGTTAACTAGTCAAGAGTTACTTTGCTGCTAGCAGTTTACTACCAGTCATTTTGTCTTGATATCAAGCCTCTTGTGTCTCAAAACCAGTCCACCCCCACCAGGAACCATTGTGATCATAGTCCTTATGTAAGATTCTCTCTGATAAGAGAATAGGTTTGTCTCTTATGAATATGCTTGGCTTTGTGAAGTGTGCTTATCACACTTTCAGCTGTTTGAAAATTCTTCTTTTTACAAAATACACAAGTCGTCCATCAGTCTAGGTCTTGCGAAGCAGATCATGCCCGTCCAATTTGTCTTTATTAGGTTCGGTCCCCAATATGTAGCCTTGACATTGACCTCATGAAAAAACTGCATCCAGGAGTTCTTCTGTTGTGTGTGTATTTGTTACTGCGGAAGTGTGTTTACTGAGCCATTCCCTATCAATAGCCATCTCTTCCGGCTCCACAATTCTGGCTTTGAGCATACATGTCACAATATCTATGTCCCTTCATTGCTAACAGCACTAGAAGAGCTGAAGATACTAATCACAAGCCTGTGCAAAAATTGATCATATTATCCTCCAGAAGATATAGCAGAAATCTGAATATCAGTTTGATATTGCTCAAGCTACACATGGTATTCACATTCAACTTATTAGATTTCATAACACCCTTGAAGTTTGTCTTTCAAGTGATCTATATTTCTTAGCAGTACCATAAACCTTCTATGAGTAACAAAAGATTAAAATTGTAAAGATCTCTTATGGACATTCTGTATAATAGAATGATATGAGAAAGCTGATGAGGGTGTGGCTTGTAATATAATTTGTGTTTATTAATTTTATTGTTCTTGGTCTTCCTACAGATGATTTCCTAAAGGAACCGTCATCTGACAGTGAGACTATTGCCTCAACTGCTGCTGTCACCACATCTTTACCGAGCATGCTCCCCCCGGTGGCAGCAGCAGCAACTGGAGCAAGTGAAATGACAGATAATGTGGAAACAAGTGTGGCAACCAGTTCACAAATACAGTCTCTTGTTACAGACACCTTGACACCGGCTTCAGGTGCAAGGAGCCCATGTTTACCATACAGTGTCTCCTTGACAGTACCTAATGTTTCTCCTGCAGTGCCAAGTACCAGTGCTGCAAATGTAAATTTTGGACTCCTGGGGTCAGTAACATCTCCTCCATTGATATCTTTGTTAAACAAAACGGCTCCAAGTTTTACTTTAGCAGTATCTTCTCCATCTAGTGCTCCAGTTTCTTCGGAACAGAAGATACAATCATCAACTCTAACCTCTTCATCTGGTACTTCTCTTATTTCTGGCAAATCTCAGTCTCCATCAAGTTCACCATGTAATGGATCTATCATTCCTCCTCCCTCCAAAGAACTGACAAGCCACGGGTCATTGTCAGATAGCAATAGCAGCGGTGGCTTCAGTTATTCATCGACAAGCACTGTTATTAATGTCCCGAAGCCAGTGGCCACAGAAGCTACAAAGAGCTTATTCAGCTTTGGAAGTACAGCATTGACTTCTTCAGTGAATGCATCAGCAAATGTAACATCAAATTCAGTTACTGGGTCTGTATTTGAGGTGAAGAGTTCCAAAGTAAATGCAGGTCTGTTATGTTCTCCAGCAGTGTCAGCTCCTTCAGGTATTTCCAGTCCTGCAGCAGTCAGTCTCTTTGATTCTGCTAAGAGCAATGGGGGACCATCTACATCACTCTCCAGCGGAACATTAAATTTTGGAATAAAACCAGCCACATCTACCAACAGTCCCTTTCAATTTAGTACTGCTACTAGTAGTAGTACTGCCACTTCACCTGGGGGTTTCAAGTTTCTTTCCACAAATGGAATGAAAGAGAATGCAGCTCCAACAGCAGGAGATCTTCAGCCAAAAATAAATCTCACAACCTCCAATACAGCACCCATTTCTACAATTTCTGCCATCACTCCTCTATCGTCTACCTCTTCTGTTACCATCTCAGCACCTGCTTCCACAAGCCAATCAGTATTGCCATTCAAATTTGGAACTACACCAGTGTATGCCTTCAGTAATACAAGTACTGCAAATGGACCTACACAGAGTTCCCAAGGTTTTCCTGGAGGCATATTTGGAAAGTCCCAGCCTGAGACTACTAATGGAGTGACACAACCATCACAACAAAGCCCATTTACATTTGGTGCATCTTCATTTTCTCAGAATCAGAGCTTGACTGGCACCTTCACATTTGGTGCAAGTTCATCACCATCCAGTGGTGTTAAGACTGGGAATATTGCCTTTGGTGGAAGTGGTGGGAATGTACCAATCCAGACAACACAGTCAAATAATGGGAATCTGCCAGAACAAGCATCACAACCAGTATTTGGAAGTAGCGAGAACAAGACAGGTGCAGTATTTGGCACACCAAAATCAACTGGTGGAGTGTTTGGAAGCACACACTCTTCACAACCAACTGGAGGATTATTTGGGAGTTCAGTAGCCCAGTCAGGCGGGATATTTGGAAGTAATGGCAGTAGTTCAGGACAGGTACAATCAACAGGAGGGATTTTTGGGACCGGCATGAACCAGTCTGCTCAGTCACTGTTGCCCTCCTCTGGAGTGTTTGGAAGTACTGGCAGTCAGATAACCCAGCCCTCTAGTGGATTATTTGGAAGTAGTGGAAATGTCTCCACCCCATCAACGCAGTCCTCTAGTGGAACATTTGGTGCTAGTGGAAGCGTGACAACTCAGGCTACTAGTGGAATACTTGGTAGCTTAGGGAACCAGTCAGTTCCGGCACCACAGCCAGGAACAGGACTTTTTGGAAGTGTTGGGAGTCCATCATCACAGATGTCTCAGCCATCTGGTGGAATATTTGGGACCCAGTTACAGCCTAATGGGGGAATATTTGGAAGTGCCAGCAGCCTGAGTACCCAACCAGCTGGTAGCAGTACCCAGAATATGTTTACATTTGGATCAACAACACCCATCACACCAGCGCAGCAGCCAGCAACTACTACCAGCACAGGGACATTTGGTACTACTACACCTTTTCAGTTTGGAGCACCAAATAATAACACTGCTGTTTCAGCTTCCCAACCAACTGGTAAGTTTTATTTCAGTGTAATAGTAGTAATCTGTTACAGCTCTGTAGTATGTCCTTTATCCTCAAATGACACCAAACTGTCAACCAAATAACTTCATTTGTGCACATGCTGTCATTTAACAAATCTATTTATATTCTCCTCTCTATTTCTTTACGAAATGTAGTTGTCTTCAGTCTGTTCCCCCTTTTCCCTTTAGCTTTCTTTGTATGTCAGTTCACCTTTTTTTTCATCTCTCAAAAGGACATCCTCATAGACACAGATATGGACACTTGAAACAAGGAGACAACATGGAAAAGCTAGGAAGAGGTGCAAGAATAATATTGAAATGGATTTCAAAGAAATTTGATGGGACTGTATTCATCAGGCTCAGGATAGGGACCATTTTCAGCTCTTCTGAATGCTGTTATGAACCTTCAGGAAATTTCTTGACTAGCTGAGCAAGTACTGGCTTTTCAGTAACTTTTTGACTTCAGTTCCCTGTCTTCAAACTGGTCTTGGCATTTTATAATTGTCATAACTCAAACCTCTGAGAATTTCTACAATGTTTTCTTGTGTTCCAGTGCTCTGTTACTGTCTTACTCCTTATTGTGCCTTCTGCTTTCCCAGAACCAGCTCTCAGCAGTGTCGTATTGGTAGAATTCCACACTTCTCTGTTTCCTGTTACAGATTTTACGAAAGATGGTCCTCCTTTTTGTGTTATTTCAGTAACACGCTTTGAAGCTGTTTTACAAAGTAAATTCCAGTGTATTCTCTTGTTAAGGCAGTGATTTTGGAACAAAATTGTGGTCTTGCTACCTCCGTTGCACCTTGATGACTGCTCATCCATTGCAGTATGGGTGGTTCCCTAAGCCAACCCATGTCTTGAAAGCAAGCCCTGTTTAGGCTCTTGACCAGACTGTGACATACAGTAAGACATCAACATTCTTTTTACACACAGCCTTCTCTCTGAGGAGACGATGGATATGATGTGTAGTGGAATGTAGAGTGTTTTGTGCTTAGTTGCAGTAACTTGCTCTTTCACTATGACAGCACTCAACACGGAATCAAACCGTCATTTCCATTCTTATTCCTTGCACCAGTTTTTTTTTTAATTCGCATAGTGGGGGTGGATTCCAGCTGGGTCCACTTGGCACATCTGCCACTGATTGGCATATTGTACTTGCCCCGTGTGATTATGATAATGGAGAATTTGGTGGAATGAAGATTGGCAGGGGAAACTGAAGTACTCGGAGAAAACCTACCCCCGCTCCTCTTTGTCCACCACAAATCCCACATGACTGAACCTGGGCTGCTGTGGTGGGAAGCCAGCCACTAACCTCTTGAACTATGGCGCAGCCTTTGCACCAGCTTACTTTTTATATTCCTCATGGTTGCCACTTCAGAGTGGCAGTAGAGGAAGCAAAGAGTTCCTATACTGAATTTATGTGTGTCCATATTGATTCAGTTATGATTTGATGTATGTAACGTGTGTGTGTTTGTTTGGGGGTGGTGCACGTACTGTCCTAATTTTATCATTCTCTGCATTTTATGGTCGTACTAGGCAGATGTTGGGAAACTATCTTAATTAGGCTACACCTGCTCTCCACACCCTTTCCAATTCATTATTTACCAACCATCCTACCACTTGATGCTACATGATGTGAGATACTGAAAGAATCATTAAATAATGACTTCCATATATGTGTTAACAGTTGCAGAAAGATATAAAGATTAATGTCACATGTTGGGTATATGTCACGCGACAAATAACTTCACGCCATATTGTATGTAGTGAATTTATTCCACTCACTCTTACATTTACACAATTCACAGTTTCACAGTTACTGCCATCGGCAGTATCACACTTACTTCTCCTGCTGGAGTCACTGTCATTCACACGATACAACTCAACTCATCCACTGGATACTAGTAACTCTGGTTACACTGATGAATACTCCTCGTTATGTAGCTTCTGCACTGACAACACAGAAAACAGTTACATGATAGCTATCACTGTTGTGTGACGTCATGTTTACCGATTGCCAAGCAACAGTCTCTGCACAGAGTCGCCTGTTGCCACGTAATAACCGCGGTGTCCCCTGTTACGTCACTTTGGGAAGTGCTGTTACGTCACCGCAGGGGAGGGGGGTGTCCTGCATAGCACAAATACGTCACATTATGTATATAAGAGAGAAGTGTGATAGTTTTGTTTTTAGATACAAAAACCTGTTATAAAAAATAGAAAATAATCTGCATTCTAACCATCTTCCCCCATTTGAATGTTAAAGGTAGTGGAATCAAAAGGGGCCATTATGTAAACACATTAGGTACAAGCTTTTTGTGGGTCCCTTTGTCCTCAGTCAGTCTAACATATCCATTGAGGATGCTTATCTCAGGAGTCAGTCCTTTGTAGATTGGGTGTGTGACCAGGTGACAGGATGTGCTAATCTGCTTATAGAGGTTACTGTCTGTATTGCCTTTGTCTTTGCAGCCCAGTAAAGACTGTGGCCTCTAGGCTGGAATGCCACCAGGGACCAGGAAACTGTATCTTGTCCAAACATCTATAGGGCACTGCGTATTATACACACAGGCACACATGGCTGCCATTGTATTCAGGACCATTGCCTAATACCATATATTGTTTTGACTCTATTGTAATTTGTGTTACAGGAGGCTTCAGCTTTGGAAGTTCAGGTGTCAATCCATCAGCACCAGCAATTAACTTCACTGCTGGGACATCCGGAAATACTCCATTCCAATTCGGTAAGAATATTGACTGTATTAAAGGGTATATGATTTACCTAATTATCTAATGAAATTACTTTCTTGTCTCTGTTTAAGCCCCCCCCCCCGTATGTTAATTCAGCTTCTGTATCCATGTTTGATCACTTGTAATGCTTTGTCCAGAGTATTATCCTCCAATAAGGAGAAGTTGGGGCAATTACCAAGGTCTAGGCAGTAGCGTAGCTGGTTGAGGCACCATGCTACAAGCTGGAAGGTAACAGGTTCGAGTCCTAATGAGATTGGTATTTTCATTTGACCTAATCCTTCCAGCCGCACTAGGGCCCTGGGGTCAACTTAGCCTCTAACAGAAATGAGTACCAGGAATCTTCCTGGGGGTAAAGGGCTGCAAGGCTGACAACCTTACCACCTTCTGTGAGCTTATTGGCTAAATAATGTGGGACATTCAATGTCTCACAACCATATGGGTCTCCATGACGTGTTACAGGGATAGCTTTTATCCATGTGTACTGTGTGAGCTTGAATCTGTTTCCTATTTTTCTGTATATGTCATAGATGCACATTTTTTCTGAACTTTATCAAGAATTCTGTATATGGATAATATGAAATCATTTTGATATCAAGAAAATGTCATCCCCCGTTTTCCATTTCTACATTATTTTGTGCTGCGAAGATTAAATTTGTTGTAGATCTCCCTTGCCTGAAAAATGTTGTTTGTCTCATTGTACTTTCCACTTCTCTCTTTTATTTTTGCAAGCACAGTATCATTTGCAACTACTGTAAGGTGGAAGAATGCTGTTCTTCTTCAGTTAGAAAGGAAAAGCTATCCCTGTAACAGGTCATGGAGGTCCATAGGGTTGTGAGAGGTCAAGGCTCCCACATTTTCTAGACAATTGGCTGACAGATGGTGGTAAGGTTGTCAGCTTTACATGCTGACAGCCCTTTACCCCCAGGAAGATTCCTGGTACTCATTTCCATTAGAAGCTGAGGTGACCCCAAGGCCATAGTGCGCCTGGAAGGATTAGGTCAATTGAAAAATCCAGTGATCTCATTGGGGATCAAACCCATGACCTTCTAGCTTGTAACATAGTGCATCAACCAACTATGCTACCATGTGCCACTTCTCCTTCAGTTATGACACTGTAAAGTGTTATCACTCTTAAAACTCTGGAAAACAATTACTTCTGTAATTTGTGATAGATTTCAGGTTCTTATGGCAGTGAATATGAAAATTAGGGTCTTCTGAGGCGGGACACCATGTAGTTTGATGGTTAGGTATCTGTCTATTGAAGTACATCACATCCCATAAGATTATAATATTCATACTTCTCTGAGAGTTAAATATATTTATTTGCCACATTTTTCTCCTTTTTATGTAGTGTCTGCTATTTTTCACCTCATCTGTCAGGTACAAATTTTTCCTATACCTAAGATGATTAATATGTCACCATGTTATATTGTATTTAGTCTTAATTTTGATCTGAGGTGTTATTCGCATGTTCTAGGTGCAGGGTCAACTCCAGTGTTTGGAAGTCAGACCACAGGACAGGGCATGTTCAGCATCGGCTCTGGGTCTACTGCTCCACGGGCTCGTGCCACAAGGTTGCGGCGACAGAGATAGACTGAACTGATATATTAATTGGGAGGACTTCTGAAAATCAGAAGAGTGTTCGAGTATTTATAAGGTGGCAGATTGTGTAAATAAAACCGTATGAATATTTGTTTTGATTTTGGACACGTTTTGAAGTATGCTGTTATAATTGTCGCAGTTTCGAAACAAATACTAAATGATTTAATGTTGACATACAGTGGAACTTTATATTTTCCGTGCTTGAATATATGTACATTGTGAGAAATATGAAGATGAATTTGTTTTATGTATGCAAGTGATGAGGCTGTATTTTTTAAAGAGAAAATGAGTGATAGAAATGCACAGGACTGTGTTTCTAAACAAGAATTTACTACCTTGTGACTTGACAGAGAACGTTGCAAAAGAAGGTACTTTTGTCCTTAGTTCGTAGGCATAATATATGTAGTATAGGTGACTCATTTTGTAAGCATTAGTGGTAAGAGTTTTATAATTGACTTTTCCATATTTACTCATGCATTGCCCATGATCACATAATTTTTTGTTTTCCCTTCTTACTTACTTACAGAGCTGAGCCCTTCTTGAGAAGCCACCAATTATGCAGCTACTCAAGAATTTCCCGGCATTTTATGGAACCCAAAGGTTCATTACTGTGTTCACAAGAGCTTTCCACTGGTCCCTATCCTGCGCCAGATCAATCCAATCCATACCATCCCATCCTATCTCTCTAACATCCATTTTAATATTGTCCACCCACCTACGCCTTGGTCTTTGCAGTGGTCTCTTTCCTTCTGGCTTTCCCACCAATATTCTATATGCATTCCTCTTCTCCCCCATTCGTGCTACCTTCATGACATAAAATATATGCAGTAGAATGCCTGTTTAGTGTTTCCGAGTTCAGAATTCTTGTTGAATGTTTAGTTTCAATGAATCCAGACCAGTAATATCAATTTTAAATATTCTGGGTTGTAAGATTTGTGTCAGTTTAAATTTCTTCTCCCCAAAAAGAAATCTTAAATGGAGGTTTGACTGTATGTCAGTTTTGGCAAAGGTTTAGATGTTATTTTCTCCAGACTGAAATGTTTTTAAACAGTATTTCATAAAATTTTCAGTTATCCTGGAGCCTATCCCAAAATTACTATATAATTTGTAAGATATAGTAAATTGAACTTGTGAAAACTGTTATTTTGAGTGGCTGGCCTGCTTTGGTACAAATTATGACGACTGATATTTTTCAGAATTTGTTTGTGTTTCTGCACACTTCCCACACATATTTAGTAACTAATTAATAATTTTATTTACTTAAAGAGTGACCATCTTTTTTTATCCAAACGTCATTTTTCTCTATATTATATACCTCATTATTATTGACAGTATGGGGTCCTTTTTAAGTGCTGGTAATGCATGGGTAAATATGAAATATGATGAAAGCTCTTGGTAGAGCATTTCTATCGCAAGCTGGACCCTATTTCATTTTGTGTTATGTGGTCTTTATTGAATCCTTTACAATGTATATTTTTATGAAATTCATGTTAAATAAAGTTATAAATAATGAACAGACAAGTATGAAAAGGATGTACTTACTTACTCATGCAGCTGAGCCCTTCTAGAGGAGCTGCCAGTTGTGCAGCTACTCAAGAATTTCCCAGCATTTTATGGAACCCAAAGGTTCATTACCGTGTTCGCAAGAGCCCTCCACTTGTCCCTATCCTGAGCCAGATCAATCCAATACATACCGTCCCACCCTATATCTCTACGATCCATTTTAATATTGTCCTTGGTCCTCCCAGTGGTCTCTTTCCTTCTGTCTTTCCCACCAATACCCTATACACATTCCTCATCTCCCCCATTCATGCATGAAAAGGATGTATCATTTTTAATTGGATCCATCTTCTTCCAGAAAATTGGATTAAAATATAGATTTCTGTTATCTAAAAAAACTAATGTGTTTAATCTTGTAGATTGTGCAGTTCCCTTACATAAGTATCTACTTTTTACTGATGGTTTCCTAATCATTTTGGATAATTAGGATGTGGTATACATTCTTCCTTATCCAACTGCATATCGACCAAACCTTTCTCCAGTTCTTTACCCTCTTTCAGCATTTCCTTCACCTTTGCAGTTACTGATGGCAATATTTGTATCTGTATTTTGTCCTTAACAGCTGCAGTTCCACTGTTTTCTTTAAAGATGTATCTTTCATGTTGTATGTCTACACTGTTTGGTCTCTTTATGATTCAATTAACAGCCTCTTTCAAATTGATTTTGCTTTATTTTTATTACACTTCTCAGATTTTGGTCTTCAGGGTTATGCCCCCTTGTAGCATGATAGGTGGAAACCATCTATCTTCAGGGTCATTTAACCCCAAAGATGGAGGTAGTATGTAGTATGTCCAGAAGACCACAGCCTGAATGCTCACTGAGGTGAAACACCTGAAAACTTGAGCCTCTACTATCAATTTTCTCTCTCTGGCCTTCAACTTGTTCCATCCTTTTTCTTTCATTCACAAAGTTTCTGCTGTGTATAGTAACCATGACTTAATATACGTTTGTGGCTCAATCAGTTAGATGCCGGCCTCCCACTGCAGTGGCCCAGGTTCAAGCCTGGGTCAGGTCACATGGGATTTGTGGACAAAATGGCACTGGGGCAGGTTTTCTCCAAGTATTTTGGCTTCTCATGTCAATCCACATTCCATCGATTGCTCCCCAATCATCGTCTATCATCTGGGGCTGGTACAGTAGGCCAAACAGTGGCCACATGTGGTTAAATGTACTTACTTAATAATGCCAACAGTCACCCATCTTTGTCCACCTGAATATGACACTTTAGAACCAAAATCCAATAAGGAAAATTGACCTTAATGTTGTAACACTGTTGCAACAACGCATATGTGCAGTCTGACTGGTCAAGTTGCACGATACTAATATTATTACCTTGAAAATAAACTGCCAGCCCTCTAGTACCATGGAACTTATAGTATTCTATTCCCCAATTATGAGTTCTGGAAGTATTATGCAATAGTGTAGTTGGTAAGGGTGTGCACAATGATTTTTGTGCTGTGGGTGATATGCATTTGTTATATATGTTCTTGGATCATAGTTTTAACTTGAAAGTGCTAAAATATTATACTTGGAGCAGTAGCAATGAAGGACTGTTAAGGATATTTAAAAGGAAACAGCAGTTGATAAAAATCTTTCCTTTTATACTTCAGAGTTCTGATTCTGTGTTACAGTGACAAACACTTTTCACTAAATACATTATACAATATTGGTCATTGTACAAAAACAAGTATTTCTCGACATGCATTGTCACCACCCATAGTAATGCTTATAAAGTTCACTGACATTGGATTCATTGGTACAATGTAAAGCATGACATGTAAAAGAGTGGTCTCTATTGCAACTTTCAATGGGATTTTCAATCTTCAGATTGTGGTCTTTTGGTTTATGACACCATAAAATCTTGTAAATGGATATCAACTTTCTGGAAGAACATGCTGCATCATCTTCAACTTTGAAGATGAGAAGACCTACAAGACTACATGATATCACAACTCAGACTGTCACAATATAAATACCCACTGCCATGAAAATGTCAGATTCTGAGTCCATCTCTGAAGAACTCCCATACTACATAACTGAGTTCTAGGCTTACAGTCAGGAGGCTCAAACAAACAGATGCTTTTTAGGATCAGGTTCTTACAGTGGTGGTTATGAAGAGCTCTGTCTTCTAGGATGTAATGCTGTGTAGTCCATTAAAAGTCAGCCAGTGTTTTGGAGGAACATGTTGCCTTCATCTTCGTGGTTGAAGAATAAGCCAAGAAAAAAACCAGTGTAAAGTTGGCCATTGCCTAGTAATGACTGTCTCCGCAATGCTTCTGTGACTGCAAGGCAAATAAACTCTTCTGTGTTGTGTCATTGGAACTACACTAAATAATCTGTTAGCACGCACTCCTATACAACATTATGACAATTGAGCACTTTGAAATTTAATCAGTACCACACAAATCCTAGCAATGACCTTGTCACTGTCCTAATACCTTTCTTACAGAGGAAGTAATGAGGTGACTGGACTCAAATCTATGCGTGCATCAGCAAAATTAACACTTCCTCCGGCTGGGGAAGCTGTCTTGTCTACACCAATTCTTACCATGACATCCCATCATGGAGAAGGTGAGCTCCATTGTTGTTATGGCCTCATGCTTGTCTGATAGAAGAAGTAATGATAAATGAGTTTTTCTGGTCTTGCACTACATGAAAGTAGCAGCAAAATTAACGATTTTTCTGGAATTGTCTATTCAAGATGAACATCTTTTTTTCTTTACCTCTTCTAGAATGCATGCAGGGCCAGGCAGATGGACAATCCAGCTGTTCTCATGATCCCATTTCTTTCAGAGGAAGTAAAGTAAATTAGCTTTGACTGAAACTCATGCATGTTTTTAAGCATCAAACCCCCCCTCCCCCCAGGAGGTCCTCTACCACCATGTCAAATTTGTCTGAAATAGGTTCAGTGGTGTGGAAATGCATAAAGAACAAACACACATTCTTCACAGGGTTAACACATATAACTGCATAGACATCTGGAAACAGTTATACAAGAAGCACCTCCTTACCTCATTTCTACTTTTACTGTCAGATTATCTCTCCTCTTCGTCAATAACCCTCACATCAGTTCATCATGTTTGTCTGTAGAAGTGTGTGACTACATACAGCAAAAAAATCACATACAGATGAGATGCAAAACCATACAATCTGTAGACAATTACTAGGGAACTGACTGAATTTATATTAACTTCTACTGGCTGTGTTGCACTATAGTAACAGTGTACAATCCAGCCACCCAAGGGTGGCATTATTTAACACTAATACTGTTGCCTCCTAATGGGAGCCAGGATAGCATAGGCAGTATAGTGACCAGCTATGGGCTTGACAATGAAGGGGTTGGAGTTCTAGTCCTAGTATGGTCAAGAATTTGCTCTTCTCCATGTCATCCAGACCAGCTCTGGGGTCCACTCAACCTCCTATCCAATGGGTACAGGGGAGTCTTTCCCTGGGGGTAAAGTGGCCAGGGCGTGAAGCTGACCACTGACCTCCAACTAGTGCCAAGGTCAAGAAAATGTGGATCTATATATCCATAATGCCCCATACGTCTTCATGGTGTAGTGTGTAGTTAGTTAAACACAGGGACAACTTCACTTTACTTTACTTTAATTTACTGCTACCTCATAATTAAAATCTGGCCATCAGACCCATGATACTGAGGGATTTAAATTCGCCAGTTCTTGGATGATGCAGGTTAATGATGTGACATCTCAATGTTACTATTTTAATACTTGCTCCATATCTGTTTCAAGTTTGCCAGGACTACCATAAACTTACTTTTTTATTAAGATCACAGCTTTTGGGATATATCACATCCCAGAAGACCACAATCTTAACATTCACAGCCTTTAGTACTGAATACCTCATATAATTATCATGTTTCACAGACTTTATTACTCAAGACAAAACTATTATAACATTTTTTTTTTCTATTTATTGGCATAAATTCATTTTCCTCTGTCAGTTTGCTTGAATTAGATGTTACTATAAAATTAGAATAATGAGGTAATATACATACAGATACTGAATGTGAGAAAGGATATACACTGTTATTGTTCACAGTATTCACAGCAAGTACTACAAATTATAAAACCTAATTCAAATTAAAAGAAAAGGCAAAATAGAGAGACATTACAGACGGTATTCAGTCAGTCACTTTGCTAAGAAATTATTGCAAATAGACAAATGATGCTTTGTATAAATATATCTTGATCAGCAAAACAGAACCATTTTTTTTTTTGATCTCTTGTGTCTGACATGATTCTATGAAAGACACCCTAAGTACAGTACTTCATTGTTCTTTAACAATAATATATCTCTCAATTGCTTGTTCTTTTTTTAAACCTCTATGGATGAACTTTCTTATACCCTTTTCGGAGGCATGAATTTTCATTTGCTAACAGTGTCACATTACTTACACTTGACAACAGCACACTGGGCACCATTTTTATCGTGGCTAATCTCACCCTCAGATTTCTCAGCACTGACATTCATGCTTGAAGACTTAAATCTATGGGTTCATGCATGAACAGATGGGTATATCTGTAGTCCTGAAAAGGGCATCATCATCATCGTCGTCATCATTGTCATCATCATCATCATCATTATTTATTACTCCCTCTTCCCATGCAAAAGATTCTTATGCTGTTATCTTCATATCATACGCATACAAGAATAACATGCTGGACACAGAAATGGCCTCTCAGTACAGAGGTACAGTCCTGGTTTTATATATAAAATATTATTTCTCAAAGGTTGAAATGAAACAAAATTTCATTTGCTTCCACAGAGATGTCTACATTTGAACTAATATGATGATGACCTTTGGTTTCCATCTTGTATGGTAGCTTGAAAAAGACACAAACAACAACTCTAATTGTTTCTAACTGTTGTTCCAATTAGTCTTGTTATCACTTTCAAAATTAAACAGTAGAAATATCAAACAGACACAACTCTGCAGCAAAACACTTCACAGATTTCTTCAGTCAGCTACACATCTCTCATGAAGAGAACTTTTTAAATGGTTGTTCATACCTTCACGTCAACATAGTTCGGCTTAGCACACATCTTCCATTTAAATTAAGTATGTCACTTTTTACTTAACAAATGTGATAGTACCTAAATTACAATCTCCTCATTCCTAGCACTCTAGGATTCATTATCATTCTATTTTATCTGCAAGCAAAATAATGCAGCATAACATATTGAAATCGGTGTTTCAATGACTCCAGTGGCCTTTACCATGCACTCAACTTATATCTGCTAGCCACTTATCAAAATCCACTCATTCAGACAAGAAGTATTCATGTAGACAATTTTATACTTGCCTATGGCAAGCAGGCAAGAATATTTCTGGATCCTTGCACTTCAACAACTTCAGCTGTTTCTGTCAGTGCTCCAAAGACACAAATTAAATCTGTCAGACCCTTAATAAAATCCATTCACTTGATCTCGACGTATTCTTGATATAAGTATTTTTACACTTGCTTACTGCATGCGGATCAAGCATATGAATATTTCTGTAAAGAATTCCCACATCTCTTCATTAACTTGCCTATGGTAAGCGGACCAGCATAATTTGACGCCTAGTTTCTGCTAATGAGTTTTAGATTGCTTTAAGCATGATAGTAACACCATAAACAATTAACTTATAATGTATAAAATGGGACAAGATTATAAAAATGAAAGTCTTCATCTCTGCCAACACTTAGAACACATCATTTGGGAATCAACATAATACCATCATGCTGCTTCTTGTTGACTGGAGGCTGTCTGTTTACCACACCCCCTGCCACCTTGTTGCGTCTTGCTCCCTCACCACCTGCTTCATCTCCATATTCAAGCTGATCTGCATCATCATCCTCTAGAATCAAACAACAAAGCTTATTATAACGTGTTCCTTCCTCCAGGTTACTGTGTATTTGTTGCCTGTGATTACAGGAATATAAGACTTGAGGTTCTCACAGCAGTGACTGTGAAGATTACTGTTTTCTGGAATGTGAGGCTTTGTATTCTGACAGATCTAACCCAATACTGGTAATGCTCCACAAGATTACACAGTGTCAAATGTCAGAAGACAAGACAGTCAAGATTATAGAAAGTTTGTATAACAGTGGAGTAGCCATAGTCAGAGAAATAATTATGGTAAGTATATAGACTACTGTAAGCTGTTTAATTCTGTATCAACTGCACAGGTTATTTACAGCTGAATGGGTAGCACTCCTGCTTTACATTCTGGATGTTGCAGGCTTATATTTCAGCTTGGAGACTGGCTATCTTGCTTGACATTTTATATGGTTTCCCTCAATCCCACCATACAAATTCCACAGTAGTACCTTAAATTAGACTACAATGACTATGGCATCCATTCTGGTTCATAATTCACTGATCATCCTGCCAATGATGCTACATAATCTGAGCTGGTGACTAGGTCAGTAAATAAACCATAAATAAATATAATCATATTAAATATGGTGATGTAAGGAGCAAGCTTCTTCTAACTTTATGACAACCTGACTTTCATGACCCAAATTTTGTAACAAAAGTCATGGCAGTACAGTTACCACTTCATCTGGGCTGAAGGAAATGGCATGTAAAAATGTGTCTGGAGGCTTGAAGATAAAAGTTTTATCAACAGAATATAATCAACAGGTCATTAATTCACCAAAAGAAATTCACATCTCCCAGTTCTCACACTAAAAATATGGCTGTAAAAGGAAGCATGGGAAATATCTGACAAGATTATGGCACGCAAAAGTGTTTCCAGAGGTTTAAAGATACAAGTTTCATCACAAGACTGTCATCAATAGATTAGTAATCTGTCAATAGGTAATCACAGCTTTCAGTTTTCATAGTAGAAAGATGAATGAATGAGGAAGGCTTTGAAGATATTACAGAACAAGTGAAGCCTGAACATATAATCAAGTGGCCCCATTTTTTCATTGACAAGTTGTCTCTATGTATGTAGGTAAGTCAATAAGTAAGTTACAAATGGATATAGAACTTAAACAGATAAGAGTACTGATTTGAAAAATGATTTTATTTCTCAACATAATCTCCCAGATGGTGACTTCCTTTACTACAGCTTCATCGTTGGGAAAATGTTCAGCCGAAAGACGATGTTTAAGAGAGCCAAACAAATGGAAGTCGCTTGGAGCAAGGTTTAAACTATACGGAGGATGCTCGAGGACTTCCAACTTGAAATTCTGCAGCGTCTCATTTGTCTCGTTGGCAGTATGGGGACGTGTGTTGTCATGCAGGAGCAACACGCCTTTGGTGAGGAGTCCTGGTCGCTCCCGTTGAATGGCCTTACGAAGTTTCCTGAGGATGTTACAGTAGGAATCGGCATTTACGGTTTCTCCTTGAGGCTGGAATGCAGTGAGCAGTATGCCTTTGTGATCTCAGAAGACTGTGAGCATCACTTTCATGGAGGATGGTGTCACATTAAACTTTTTTTTGGCAGGCAACGCAGGATATTTCCACTGCATTGATGCATGCTTTGTCTGTGACAATTTGGGCTAGCATATCGTGTCCTTCATCGTGGTAGCGATTGAGATGCTGTAATGTCAGACCCATTCTTTGCATTTTGTGTTGTGGGGTCAGCATGCACGGCACCCATCGTGCACAGACTTTGTGAAAATCTAACTTGTCATGCATTATGGGGTAGGCCATGCCATGTGAATATGCCTGGTTCTGACAGCAGCCCAAAGAATTTTAGGCTGCTGGTTTTCAGGGGCTTGTGAAACAATGGGACAAGTGCCTAAATGTACATGGAGATTATGTTGAGAAATAAAAGCATTTTTCAAATCCGTACTCTTATTTGTTTAAGTTCTATATCCATTTGTAACTTACTCATTGATTTACCCTTGTATAAACACCAATAATGGATATAAATAATGGAAATAAAAGCAAATCTTCACAAAGCCTTAACCATTTAATGCATATGGTAAGTATACAAACCGCCTGTTTTAACGTTAAGAACTCTGCATTTTGCCCATAGAGCCCATTAATGTGTTTTGTATGATTCTGTTATTCTCACAGTAAACACTGATTATTTCCCTGTACAGTGTTACCCAGTTAGTCTTTGTGATTGAGATCTGTTTTTTTTCTGAGAGGTTAAATTTTGCTCTAGATGAAAATTAGCAGTTTGCTTCATGCTTTAGCTGTTTTTACCCAAGGGAAAGAGCACCAGGTTGGGTGGGAGTTAAGTCTGGAAATGATGGTGAAGAAAAAAAATACCCTTGCCAAAACTGAAGCCAGGTTCTCCATCCTGTATCGAGTTACTTCATTGACTGAGCTGTCCCAGTTTATTCTTAACTGAGAATGATGGAATGTGAGGATAATTAAAAACTGAATTGGCCTGTTTTACTGTCCTATTCTGGCACCTAATATATAGGCAGAAAAAATTACAAAAAACTTCACTTCCCAAACATAACTCACACATTACTGCTTCATGGATCATTGTGATCTGCAGCAAAAGTGAGAATTTACCTTCCTCCTCCCCCTCGTCCAGCTGTATGTCACCCCGGGGTCCCTCCTTGTCATAGTCAGCCCCGTTGTACTGGTATGGGTTGTGCAGCTGCCGTGGGATCTCCTGTTGCTCCCCATGTGCACTGTGCCCACAAACACAACAGTCAACTACCCATGTTGTATTAATTCCTGGACTATTTATCAACAGAGAGTACTCAATTTATGTTTCTACAGTTGAATATATCCCCTCCATCTAGCCTGATATACCATGATAAAGTTTTGGTATGTTCCATCCCACAGTGGTAATTCTCAACTCAACTCTTACATGCACGATTTTTCCCTCCGTATACGAATGTGAAATTTGGTCTCTCATGGCAAGGAAGAGAAGAAAGTGCCATCTGCCAAAAAAACGTGGGAAGAGTAGAGAAAATTACATGGTGAGGAACTTCTTACTTTGTAGTCCTGCATCCGATGTTGTTAAAAGATCAACAAAATATGTAGCATGCATAAAAATAAAAATTAATGTAAAATTCCAAGTAAAAAGTTTTGTTTCAAGGGCAGAGGGACTGGAACAAATAGTGGTCAATATTCTCTCCCCCTATGCCCTGATTTATTCAGTTTAATCATTCCTCCATTTCTTCATTTTCACCCTCCTTATTCTGCCCTCTTGATCAGCCTCTGTTCATGTCTTGCTTTTTCTCCCATTCACTGTGCACTGAAGCGGACCTTTAAAGGGTCAATGTTCCCTCAATCTGATTATTCCTTCCACCTCCTACTATTTTACTCAGAGCCATTATTTCTCAAAATCACTCTTCCCTTGGAAACCAATCATTTAAAGGGCTTTACACTCTTCCCCTTACTCTACCTGGTTCACTCAGGGTCCTGGTCTCATCCTCCCTCTACCTATATCTGCACAATTTTTTCTCATTTTCAGGTTATACTTTCCTATCATGAAGACAGATACAACAGGTTCCTCTGAGATGTGGCTATTTATCTACTTTATCCCTTACCTGGACACTGTGTGACCGTATGCACACCTGTGCTTAATTGTAGCATAACAAATATGGCACCAACTCATAAAGAACATCCTCTCATCAAAGGGAAGGCCCCATTTCCAAACACCTTAATGGTCTTAGAACAAACAAAAATTTTGTCATGGGTCCCAATGAGACCCAAAACCAAGAATGACTGTGCTGGCAAGGACCAGCAGCAATTTACTGCTATGCTATGCTGTGCTATCCCAGAAGAAAGCAACTATCACAGTCACTTGAATGAGAACCTCAAATTTTGCAAGAGCTGCACCACCGTGCACAGTAAGCACAGTGGAGCTACTGCATGAAACAGGTGAGGGTATAGCCTTGTCTTGATGTGATGTGTTACCTGCGATGAGGGTGTGCTGGATCCTCATCCTCCTCCTCTTCTGGTCCATTATCATCCACTGGATTGTTCTCGTGCATATGGGCAACCTTAATGGGCTGAGGGATATGCTGGAACTGTGCAAAAGCCCAATGACCACCTGCATTGTTTTCTTCATTCTTGTGGGGTGCCATGCCCTGCAATGTGTTAAACCTTTTGTTCCTTGACTCTAGCCTGTTATCCAACATTATCACTGCAGAGTATTTAGATCATAATTGGAACTACAAATTTTCAGAATTTTTAGAATGCAGCTAAAAATTTTGATGGCTTTAGAGGATGATTATACTCAGAACTTTGAGGATTGGGTCACAATAACTTACTCCTGTAAAGATTCTAGCAAACAGAGAACAATAAAGCAAAACACGTTCACATTCTTCCCATACCTACTGCACATACCGAGAGAAACACTTAATACTCCGGTAATTATTTGATAAGACATTCAATTAATGCAACATTACAATGTTTCAACCTTCATGTTTAATCATTTCAATTATGAGTTGTTTCTTCTTGAGGAGCTGGTAATCACAAAGCAATCCAAGAGATTCTTCACATTTAACACAACAGAAATATTTTATTACTTCATTCACAAAGTTTCCATTGGACCTTTCCTGAACCAGATAAACTGAGTTCATACCCTTGCACCTCTTACCTGTGCATTGTGGTGGTAAGCATATCCCTGGGGAGCTGGTACTACTCCTGCTGGGACATAGGCATGGTGCTTCCAGTTGTTTATGGGGTCTTCCACAGCAGGTCTTGGAAGATTTGGTATTTCAGGCTGTACTTTTTCCTTGGCATCCTCATGTTTCTCCTGTCGTGGTGGTGGTACTGGAGCCACATTATTTGATTGCTGTGCCCTCTCCTGGCTCAGAAGTGCTTCAGGGTTTATTTGAGGTGTTGTTGACCGTTGGCCAGACATCTAAAGGTGAAACAGGAAACAAATAAAGCATTTTATTCTCAGTTTGCCAATTTTATACAAACATCTGATGGTTTTTGTCATATATTTCATTTGTTCCAAACACACTAAAATGGTTTTCTTTAGAATGTATTATTGTGTATTACTTAGTACAGTCTCATATGATGAAACAACAGTTGTTCAGTTGTTCAAGAAACTGGACTTCCAAGGACCATAAAATCAGTTACTCTCATCACAAAGCCCACCACTGAACCCAATTTTGAGTCACTCTAGATTTCCACATTCTATTAACCAGTTCAATATTAGTCATTGGTCTCTCAGTAGCAACACCCTAATACTGTTAAGAAAAGAATACCATGGACCTCATCACTGTAATTTTCTTCAGCCCATCTTCTTACCAAGCAAGTTGTCTGAAGCAATAATGCTTTGGACTTGTATGCAGGAGGTGCTTGGTTTCAATTTCAGCCAGGACTCTGACTATCATGACAGTGTATCTGTGGTGTTCCTCAGTCCCTCCAGGCAAATGCCAGAACAGTATCTTACACTAGACTACAACTTCTTCCTTCCACAACCTTTTGAATTTAGTATTACCTGCATAAGGGTCAGTCACTAGAAACCCAAACACTGTCATGTACTCCATCAAACTATATACAACATCAATATACAGATGGATATATGGCCTATGTTATAATAATCAATAAAATTGCACACATTCACCACTAGAAATCATTATGAAGGCCATCACTACTTTCTCCTTCAGTCAACTAAACATTACCTTTTAACTTATTTTAAGAAGCTTTAACTACTCAGTCTCAATACTTGCAAGTATCACAAGTCTCTTCACTGATCTCATAATAACAACTTATGCACAATAACAATGTACATAAAGCACTGCCTTTATAATGTTGGTTTGTCTCCTGTTGGTGGCCACTAGTGGCCAAAACATGTAAGGCAAAAGGATGTTACTTATTCAGTTATTAAATTAGTTGCACTTGATGGATTTCTACTTTCTTATGTACAATTCTAGATCAGTCACAATCTGCAACAGGTTGTCATATTCCTGTACAAACTTACTCTCCATCACTTAACCCAAAAGGTTGACTGTAAGTTCCTCCAAAATTTCAATAAATTCTGCCATTTTGACACCATGAAATATCCAACATTCTCCAAACTTTTGTTTAACACAGCAGACAAAAGTAATTTCAGAAGAAACTAAGTTTATTAACAAAACTTATAGAAATCTGGGTATAATTATAGTAAACTGGGCAGTTCAACCACTGTATTTTGTATTAAATTAACTATAAATTATTAGTGTTTTAGTAGATGTCAGCCTATAAGAGTAGACAGACAATGAAGCCAACTGCAAACAAAAGGCCTTTTGTTGGCAGTTGGCCTTGCATTCATTTTGTGCAGAATAAGCCATAAGTGTCCATCTCTTTCTTACTGTTTATTAATACCCCTTTCATAAAAATACACTATTCTTTTGTAGAAAGAAATTGATGCATTATTTTCTGCAAACAATCCTGACTTCCTATAAACAAATACTCACACCTTAAAGAATTGTCTGCAGATGTGAAAATGTTAAAAACTTGCAATGCTCACTCTGGACCTGATAGGCCATGACATTTTTTGTAATAAAGCCGGATGGTGCAAGCAAGTAGTACTTTCCAGTCAACAACTTCTGTGAAATTCAGCATAAAATTTTAGTTTCTGTCAAAATTAATACATACATACTCATACATACCAATTGCTTTTAAAAAACGTAAATTTTTCCCTGTGCTCAATTAGTTAAGCACTATGCTATGAAGACATATATAGGGGTGGAGGCATAGCTCCACCTTTCTTGTTCTCAGCAACAGGTGGAGGCAAGCGGTCAGCATCACACCCCTTCCAATTTACCCCCACCCCACCCCCTAGTACTCAATGGATAGAAGGCTGGGTGGTCTCCATAGCGCGACTAGATGCTATGGAGCAGAGATAAATCTTGAACTGCCCAGAATCGAACCCAGGCCATCAAGCCCATAGTCTGTCACTACAATAACCCTTAACAGATGCTTTTATGGTGACAAAATGTTGTTGGTCTCTTATATTGAGAGAACAATGTGAAAACAAAATGCTTAGGAAAATATCTGAATCTCAGGCAAATGAAGCAGGCAATTCAGGATATTATGCACTTAAGAACTATAATTTATATGGATTTCCTAGTATTGTTAAGAAGTGAAATCTAGGAGGACATAGACATAGATATTTTTTCCTTTTATTATATAATTTGTAGTGATTTACACAAAAGGATGCAACAAAATATGAGGGCCAGATGTGTATCTCAGATGGCACAGACAAGAAATATATGCATACTAAAGTGTAAATGGGAAATTTACTGGAAATCAATAACTTGATGATTGGGATGGTGATGGGAGGATGACATTAAGACAGATGTAGGGAATTGTCTGAGGATAAGAGGAGGATGAAATTTGCTTTGGAATGTGTCCAATGATGTGTTTTGGTATTAGATGTTCACCCTCTGAGTTCTACTACAAGGAAATTAGTCATGTGTGCAACAGAGGTAGTATACTTGTGCCAGCACTGGTCTTGCAGACTTCTCAAACCCAGTTATCTACTTTCTCTTTAAACATAAGTGTCTTGAACTTGTATACGCTGCCATTTTGCACTCATGTTTTATTGTCTGAAAGTCATGATAGCCTGTCTTATTGTAAACTAAACTTCAGTAGTCTGTATCTCAGTTATGGAGTCTTTATGGATCCATATTCAATCAACTTTCCAACTTGGTCTGAATGTTTGCATAAGCTGATGGAGCATATGCACTTACTTCTGGTATACTCTGTATAATCATCTTGCCATCCTATTTCAAGATATGCAACCTCTGTAGTGATTTAACACCATTAAATAATTTACCAACCATTACAAATAGAAATCAGCATGACCTCTCTATTATGTATTCACTTTAACACTTTCTGTAAAAAAATAATAAAAAAATGTATGTTCTGATGACAGATAACTGTATAAAGAAAAAGTTATTGGTGACTTATTCTGTGAGACCAGGCTTTCAGAGAAGTGAAAATTCTGACTGGTCTTCTGGGTTGTGATATGATACTTGTACATAATTCTGTTAGGCGGTTACCAAAGTTTCAGGGAAGTTTTCAGTCACCATGTTTAAGGAAGCAATGGGTTTATTTGAGCCTGGTAACCACACTACGTGGTGTCATAACCAATAAAACTACAATATAAACATATTTTGTGTTCTTGATTATGCCTAGCATGTAATCCTAATGATACTTTACACCCAAAATATTTATGGGAATAACAGTAAGTTTAGTATTTCAAAAAAAAAAAAAAAATTCATCAAACATGACAGGTGATGACATTACAATATTAGCCACAGCTAAGATAAAAACGGTCAATGTTTTTGAAGAGTCCACAGCATGTTCTTCTGAAGAGTTGGCACTTTTTATCACCTTGACTTCCTTCATTACCCAGCAGACTACTGTGAATGTTCAGTTCGTTTTTCTGTGTAAAAACTGAAATAATAGCCCCCACCCATACAACTTACTGAATCCTCAATTATGTATGCAGCTTCCAGGTTGCTTTATGACTGGTGATGTTCATGTAGTCTGTTCAACCATGATGCAGCACTATTTGTTTCATCTGTGCAACACATTTACTAGCAACACACAGCATTATGACACACGGAACTGATGGTGGATGAGATGTTAAATCAAAGGAATTCTGATATGCTCTGGATATCGGTGTCAATAAGATCATGAAAGTATGAGGTGTTCTGCAAAGCGAATATCACATTTTTATGGGACCTGAAAGTTCATATTTTGAGGTTTTCCAACTAAAAGGTTGTAATCTTCATCTGTCCATCTCACATTCAGTTTAATAACTGTACAAAAGAAGCTACTGGGACCATAAATTAAGAGTAGGACTTTAATTCTATTTTTTGTGCACTCAAATTAAAAAATTGCGTAAATGTGTCTAATTGACTTGCCTTGTCCATCTGACATGTAACAACCTGAGAACTGCAAACAATTTTTCATGAAATTTCATACTGGGCAATTCTGCTACAACTTGTGGACTACTGCAAATTTTGTTAAAATTGAATAATAATGACAGACATTCATGATGACCTACATGTATTTCTCTGGATGCCTCAAGTGTAACTTGCATATGACTCACTAAATATAAACAGAAAATAAATATTCTGAACATGTGTACAGAATAATAGAACATATTTTATGTTCACTATCCTTTCCCCATAAAGAGCCGGGACAGTGACTGGCTACAGGCTGGATGACCAAGGGGTCAGAGTTTGAGTCCTTGTAGGGTCAGGAATTTTCACTTCTCTATGTCATCTAGACCAGCTCTGGGGACCACTGGGGTATGAAGCTGACCACTCACCTCTAGCTAGTTCCAAGGTCAAAAAATGTGGATCTATATATCTACTCCCCAATATGTCTTCACAGTGTAGTTCTTAATTAGTTAAGCACAGAGAAAACTTTACTTTTTTTATCCTTTTCCTGTAAGTGCTGTGGTTTTTGAGATTATTAAAAAAAACACATTTTTATGCAGTATCATCTCATGAGTCTATAACCACTGGACTCATGTTGCTATAATTTTATAGCGGAAGTCTTTGCCCAAATTTGGTAAGCCACCTCAAATTTCACAGATGGGAGCACGGGATGTGGCACTTTACACAAAAGCTTAAATATGAAGCTAATGTGCCAGAATTGTTATGCTATGTATACATTATGTAACTTGTTAAATTTTAATCCTGCCTTGTCACATTTAACATTTGAGAATGCCCTGAAAAGTCTTCAGAAGCAGAGCATTCAAATCACAGACAAAAATATGTGAGCATGGACTACTCTTCAGGATGATCCTTCCGATGATACGTTTACACTTCTGTGTATTATTTAATTATAAAACTGTACAATGAAAGTGTACAACGTGAAATAAAGGGAAATTTATGAGCACTGAGGTTC